TATTTGAAGTAGCCTGAACATGGGGAAGAGATTGCCCTCCAAGAAGGCAACAGTGGAAAATACAATTGATTTGGTATATTATCCAACAGATTGAACTTGTATAGTATTATTCATTATGGAACTCTGTAAGAGAAGGAAAACAAGGTAGTGCTCGTTAAAGACACAAAAACTTAGTCAAGTACTTCACAGCCCATCTTCTGTGTTGTGAACAAATAGTAGTGTATGCATTCCCGAAACAACTTTTTGTAGTTAAAGCAGTTTTTTCCTCCAGTGCTGCAGGCTAACTTCTCTGAGTGATCCAGGAGAACAGGAAAGAGAGGAACGCCTTTAACAAATACAATTGTACGGGGCCACAGAGTTACAGATTGAGGGAGCTGCTCTACCAATGGCTTGCATCACCATGTGTGCTGAACCACTTTTTGTAGCTTTTTATCTCACATTTTGTGAGATATAGCCTAATGTGGTCTTCCTTCCAAGTTCAATGCCCAGCACGTTAAATAACTGAAGTTATTTAGTTATAGTTTGTTTATAGTATAGTTATAGTTTAGTATAGTTATAGTTTAGTTATTTAGTTTCCAGATTCATCCTATTTAATTTTGACAGTAATGCTGACGCAAAAATGCAAACTTGATTGTGATTCCGAATCTTTTTAGTTCGTATGAAAACACAGAAAAATAAAACAGTATCTATAGCTGTTAGTTTCTTTTCAGGGGGTAGTGATAGTAAGACGATGTCAGCCCTTACGTTTCTGTGGGACACAAAGGGAAGTCCAGCTTTAGAGGCATCCCTTGACTCTTGTTTTTCCCTGTTACTCCCTCTCTCATCCACGTATCAGCTGTGTAAGTGAATGTGTTCTGTGACTTACTCAATGGTAAATCATTCTGTTAATAGGCTATCAAGAGACAGATATGTCTGTGTAATAATAATCTAGTTTAAGCAAGAACTGGAGGTTTTCTAAGGTTATACAGAAGAGCAAGCAATGTATAGCAAAAATCCATACCTTCACGTGTTCCTTGGAAGGTGAAAGTAGATGTGCATCTTTTATACATTTGCTCTTTCATATTATTGTTGTAGGTGATGACCTCCTTGTACTAGACACAGTTCTCCTCAAAAGGAACTGACAGTCTAAAATGTAATAGATGGATACAAATGCTCATACTCACTTGTACAGGAACAGGGATATTGGTCAGTTTGCTACTCAATGGTCGGTTCATCCACGGGCTTCAACATTTTTGTCTGGCATGCTAGTAATAGGATTTTTTTTATGAGCTAAAGGAGAACATTCATAGACATTTACAGGAAGCTCTTCCTTGGTATCAGGAAGTTATAAGCAAAAGCACTGATGGGATTTTGAGTGCAGTAAGTAGATGAATGAGATACTATGAAGTAGAAATTGATCCTTCAGTACTTCACAAAGTCAGGTAGGGTAGAACTAGGCTGAAGTGAGCCCTTGGAGGTGATGAAAATGACCTTGTATTTGCTGAGATACTAAAGGGACATGAGCTGGGCAAGGCAAGGAAAGGAGAAGTGATCTTTGTGGGAGCATTCCAGATGAATGTGAGTATGTGGATGAGGAAGAATCACAGAGGAAATAGGCCGTTCTTTAGTCAGTGAGATGCTAGAGCTGCAGGTGAGTCACAACACAGTACTGACAGCAGAAAAGAAAGTTTGAAGACAGTCAGACTGTCAACCTTAAAAAAAAAATAAAAATAAAAAAATAAAAAGCACTGGCCATGTACTCAGAGGCCTACACTGGCTGAGATATTGCACTTTGAATAATGTAAGACCAGTTGCTCTATCATGTAAAAAGCCTTAGTTTTTCTAGGGCAACAAAAGTTTTCCCAAATATGCTTCCTCACTTTTTTCTATGAGATTTTTCTCTCTGAAGCTCTCATAATGAACTGGACTAGAATTCTTTATCTTTGAAATCTCTAAGTTTGCCCCCATTAAAAAATGAGAGGATTTTTTTTCTTCTTTTTTCAAGTGTGACATTGAATATATCTTTCAAAAAAATTGAACAGAAAATTGAGCTTCAGTGCAACTAAAGAATCATTGGCCACCTAATTGAAGAATCAGCTACAATAATTTTGAACTGTAGCTAGTTTATACTTTGCTCTGAAGAGCTACTGTGATTTTCAAATAGAAACACTAAGTTTAGAAGAAAAATGTGTTAATACCAAATGTGCTATATCCCACAAATGTTCCACACACTTGAAAAAAGACAAGCTGCCTCAGTTTTAAACCACGTCTGTATTCTTGTCCTATATACTAGTCTAAACTGAGATGCTTAATAAACTCTGCAAACTCCGATGGCACCGGAGACTTCAAGGTCGGTGGAGATACTTGATTTGTAAAAGTGATATTGTCTACTTAGAAGTCACTAAAGTATCGATGTTGTGCTTTGGTTCTACTGTTAAATATAATAGGAGGAGTGGAGTAGGGAATTGACAGTTGGCATGAATAGCTACTGGATGTATTTGAAGCTTTGCTTAGAAGGGTGGAAAAGAGTCAGCAGCTGAGGACAGAGGTCAAATTTGGAAAGTGCATATGTTGTCCTTGAACAGCCTTTGGTCTCAACTGTCCCCATGTGACCGCTCCCTCCCCCCCCCCCCCCCCGAAATGGCGTCCTGAAAGGTGGAAGCGGTATCTTTGGAAGACAAATGTCATGATAAAAATGACAGCAGTCCTGGTTAAAACAAGCAGAAGTGCAGAAGAGTTTAATATTTTATTTAAGGCCTGGATCGCTTACCTCGGGTGAGGGTAGTGAACAGCAGCTCACCTTCTCTTTCAGAGTATGCATGGTGCAGCTCTGATAAATTATTGTGCCTAGCAGAATGTTAAATGTAGTGGGACTAGAAAGACACCAAAAATGTGGGTGATTGAAAACTGCCTAAGGGACTTGGAAACAGTTTCTGCTCTCAGTTCTGGGCTTTCCGTTACCAGAAAACCAGTGACAAATTTGAAAGAGAAACTGTAGCGCCTTTGGAGAAGAATGAGATAGGTGGCCAGAAGGTAAGAGGCTTGAAGAAGAGCTTAAGGAATGAAATATGGCGTAGCATAAGCTATGAACAGGCTGCCAAAATGGTACCTGAATTATTTATGACCTATGAGATAATGTTGGAAGTAAGTAGAAACTATTTGAAGTTTGTTGGTATTGTATTGCATTTGGAAGAACCTTTGTGACATTTTGGACCAGATATAGACATTAGGAAAAATTAAAATAATTCATTAAGGGAAAGATGGTCTGGATAGATTCCTTCTGTCAGGATCTTTTTGGTAAGAGAATACATCATTGGTTGGCTGATGACTGCATTGCAGAGATGTGTCTTTTCCAGGAGGTGTGGATCCAGGAAAGTTGCTAGTCTTTTTTTTTTTTGATCTTGAACCATAGCAATAGTAGGGATCTACTTTTGCCTTAAGAGCTATTTGGCTTCCATGTCACTGTCTAATGCTCCATTTAGGTATTACACAGGTGGGATCAAAATCTTTTTCTTTTTTGCATGATTTTCAGTGACATGTAGCTCAGTTATCAGGCATACTTGTGCTTGATATTTCATTTTGCATGTGTCTCTCTAATAAGGTGGTCGCCATTTCCTCTCCAATTCAAATGACTTGTTCACGTGTCAGCAGCGAAACCACTATTAGAGCACTCGTGGCAGTCGCCTCTGTGCTAAAAACATAAGACTTCTGATGTTGCAGGATTAAGAGTTGTGGGCCCTGAAGAGCAGGGGGAGGTGAGCGGCGGGAACATTTTTCACCCCCCCCCCCCCCCCCCCCGGCCTATTTATTTGCTGACCTTCCAGTATTACCTTATGTTCAACAGTTTCCTTTGCTGCTCACCTTTAAAATCTGCTTCCATCTAGTAGGCAAGTTCATATAGGATTACTTCGTCAGATTTTGGAAGTCAGATTGATAGGTCAGTTTGTAGAATGTGCAGTCCCTTACATTAATTAATTCAAATAATACTTTGTATACTTGATAAGCAGACAAGTAACAATAAGCTTTAAAAAGCTTAGTATTTTATGGGCTTCTTAGCTGTGATTTGGGTTGTGTCACCTAGGAATAGTCAGCAAAATGTGACTAAATTCTTATGCTGCTATTAATTTTTAAAACCATGCATTACATGTCAGAACTGTAACAATTCATTTTTGTAAATAATTGCTGCAAAATTCAAAATAGCTGCAAAATTCAAAATGAAAAAAAAATCATGTATGTATTTTATATTTATATATAGAGAGAGATATATATATATATATAAAAGAGCATTCATTTAATCTCTTATTCTTTTTTCCTCTCTTTTTCTAAATCAATTTTCAGTTTCAGAAAATTTTTGGAAATTTTTAATGCAAAAAAGAAGTGTGGGTTTGGAAACAGATAGCTGAAAGAAACATGCCCTCAATTAGCATACTGAAAATGGCTTAGCATGTCAGTTTTTTCTAACAGCATTATAATTTTCCAGAATGTCATGAAAGTGAAAGCTGTATAGTTGTTTAAAATAGATCATCTCCCCTTTTCCACCCACACATGTACTTAATTTTTTGCAGGGAGTTAGAATCTAAGAGTAGGCAGGAAAAAAGTATTGTCAGCATCGGTGGCTTCAGACAGGTGAATGATCTGCATAGTGCTGGCCATTTTGGCTTTGGCCTAGCAAAAACATCTAGGCTTGTGCATAACCTTAATCATGCTAGAGGTCGTGCTAAAATAAAACAGAACTGTTAGCATTTGTCTTGTTCCCTGAGTCCTCGGCGCTCTCTGTGCTCAAGTTTCATGTATTTAGCGTATTCTTTCAAAACAGGAATGACCATTACAGCTAAGAGTGAACTGTAAAGCTTGAGACAAATTTCCGTTTTGTGTGGTTGGGAGGGAGAGCGTATTATGGTAACAAATATGTTGGTATGAACTGGCGAAGCTGATATAGTTGCATTGGCGTAAGTTCAGAATTTGGCACAGGGCGGAGATGTGAGTAAAGCTGTATGTACTTCTGTGGTTTTGATTCGCAGAGGTTTGTGCGAACTTAGGTAGCTGGTGCACACATGGGGACATCATCAAAGAGCCCAACCAGAAAGTCAGAGCTTGGATTTGGAGTGCCATACGGCTATACATTTAGAAGCATGTTGTTATAGTGAGGCAAGCAAAGCATCCTTTCATTAAAACAGGTAACTACAGTTTATTTTCAAAATTTATTTTTATATATTGCAAACTGAAATGAAGAGAATGTAAATGCTTTTAAGATATTTGATAAATTCATTGTTCGTTTATACTGCTTGCAAAGGACTGGAAGGGTCCTCCAGTAAGTTATTGAGTCCAGAGTACCACTACTATTCTTTCTATAAACTTGTCACTACAGTTTTGGAAGGCTTTCTTAGAACCTCACTTATCTAGCATCAAAATACTTTTCAAAAAGGATTCCAAAAGTACTTTCAGCCTTAAGTTCATTCCTCTCCCCTCTCCCCTCTCCCCTCTCCCCTCTCCCCTCCCTCAAGACTGTGACTTTTGCAGGAAATTTAAAAGGGGCATTGGACTGAGTGATTCATCAGCAAAACAAGATTATGCACTATTCATGAGATTTGAGGCTGTTGGGAGTAAAGATGGCTTTCTGCAGACCCTTGGTGACGACGATACACCAGTCAGAAGTATGTTACCAGAAATGTACATATGGATGTTAAAACTGAGTTTAATGAACTTACTTCTTTAATGCCTTACCAAAAAACTGTAATGAGTAGAAAGAAGAGGGAATCATGCATGTCTTGAATACACCTGCTGGCAGTGAACACCTACAACTTAATTGTAAAAGTAACTATTTAGGTGAAAAGCTATTTGCAAGTCAACAGCACTTTGGTAATGCCAGAGTTATCGTGCGTTTTCAAGTGAATGTCTGTTTTTCCTCCCTTTCATTAATGAAGGAGTGTAATATTTAGCAGGAGCTATGATTAAACACATGAGTGTTTTAAATTTATGGAAAATTGCACTATGAATCATGTTACTATATAACTGTATTTTGTTACTGCAACCATATAACTACCTTATGATTTTTATGCTTGTAAGCTAATATGTGTGTGTGCATTGTTCCCTCCCTCCTCCTCTTCCTTCTCTCCCTCTGTTTAATGTAGTGAATCACCCTCATCACATGGAGTTAGCTCTGACCGGTTCTGGGCTTCCTGTCATGCTAACTTTCAATCCAGGACCAGTTATTAATTTTATGGACTGTTTCTTGGGCGAACAATCAGAAGTTCTGTGCAGACTTAGGAATGACCTCTCCCCCCTTTTTTTAATGTGCCAGGACTGTCCTTAGCTTAAAATCTCTCTTCCTCCTACTGTTTTCTCCCCTGTTTTATATATAAGCAGCAATCATACCTGTTCACAGCTCTCATTTTGCTAGGGTTAAACAGGTCAAACTTTCTTAGTTTCATATTACAAAATAGTTGCTCCATTCCCTTGATCAAAACATAGAGACTTTTCTGTACGCTGTTGTAGATGAATTTGGTTTTTTTTTAATGTGCATAAAGTGTAAGCTATGGGAAGTACCTCTCCTGAGAAATGTTGATAATTCCCTTTGCATATCTGCATCATGCCAGCAGCTCAGTATCTAGAGGTCCTCCTCTTCCTCCTCAGAGTTTAGAACTGAAGTTTCTGTAACTAGTCCATAAAATTATGACCTACATTTGGTATGACTGAACTTCACCCCATTTCTAGTAGAGCAGTCCTTAAGGTTGAACAATTCTTCCTATATAATATTCTTATCCTCCTCGGTCTTGACAGTACCTTCCAACTTTATGTCATCAGGAAATTTCATTAGCATGTTGCCTTGTGCCAAAGTAATGATTAAAATGTTAAAACAAAAACTATCCCAAGACAAATCACAAGCAAGCTTCCCGTGAGCCTGTTCTTCCCTGTACAAAAAATGCCTTTCCTATTAACCTACTGATTCAGACACACTTTACAATCCCTGTTCAAATCCCCTTGCTCTCTAGATTTTATAACATCATATCAAATACATATATGCTGAAACAAAAATGACTAGATATTTTACAGAACAATTTAACAGTCCTTATTTATGTCACTAGTCCTACTGGATCGTTTGAGTAAAGCTTACAGAATCCATTTTATAGTCCCCATTTCAAAGTGAAAGAAATCCTCTTTCTCTTTAAATGCAGCTCACTCTGTTAGAGCAAACAAATAGGTAATAATTAAAATGAAAGTATGCTTTTTAGAAATTGAGTACTTCTGAACGAGTTGTAATGGCAACACACTTTTTCATCCATACCTTTTGTTTATATATTTTTGTATGAGAGTTAATAACTGTTTTTTATGTTGGAATTTATGAAAACCTTTTGGCAAAACCCCCATGTGTCAGCCTACTGTGTGGTTGATAATTAAACTGTAGAGTTCTGTTCCTTAATAAGAAAAGAACCTGAAATATGATTAATACCTAAGCAAAGCCAGATAACCAGTGTGAACAGTATTATCTCCAACAGAAAAGTGAAGCCATTCTATAAACAGAAGATGGAACTAGGTAAACATCACTTCATCACGTGGCAATTGCTGTCCTCATTGGCAGTCACCCAAAAAAGCATCATACAGGGTCACAGTTCAGCATCTAAAGTTAGAAATGGTATAAGGCTGTTAGTAACACGGGTCAACGTGCAGCTGCTAAGGTAGATTTTTAAATCATGCAACACGGCTGCCTTGATACACGAGAATCAATTACTGGAAACCTTTCGCGATGGTCAAAAAGTGACGTTAAATAATTGTGTATCACATCAAATCTTGTCTGCAATTAGTTATCTGGAAAAGTAATTATGCAACAGAATCAAGTAGCTGGAATTACTGAGGTGAAGCATCCTGGTTATTCAAAGACTGTAGGAGAGGATGGTATTTTTTAACTTGTAACATGAAGTTTTAAGTACTTAAGTAATTATTGAATTAAAATAAACTTGCTCAGTTTTAATTCTTGTCATTAATCATATCTGTGATGGAAGATATGTTGCACACGAAATAGAAGTGTTAATAACTAAGTTTCTTTTAGCTAAAGTAAAAATGATTAACTGTGGAAGAGAATATCTTGCAAATAGTACATTAAAAAGCAAAGCTGTTCTGTTTAGGTAAAAACATACTAAATTATGCTTTTTTTTTTTCTTTTACACCAAGAGCATAAGTTTATAGTATTTCTTATCTGTTCTCCACTTAAAGATCAATTTCATGCTTTTCAAAAAAGCTATGATGTGTAACACAGATGTGAAAGGTTAGCAAAGCTTCTACTAGCCGTTAAAATATAATTTACACTAGTGGAAATAGTTAGCTAACATTAGTTAACTCATACTCAAACTAAGTAAGAAAAATATAATGAATCAAAACCAAATGTAGATACAAAGTAACAGACTTAAGTTTAAATTTTCTCTTGGATATTGTTTAACAGCTGTTAAAGGCAGGGAAATATTTATTTGCACAATCATGATAAAACTAACTTTTTTTTTTTTAATGGCTTCTCATAGTAACTGTTGTCATGTGTATCCTGCTACTGATAGCAAAATTAATTCTAGTCTTGTGGGAAGACCAACTTGGAGAGTTTGATCTGTACGTGTGTATTACTTGAAAGTCTAAACTGATGAAGAGTAGTTGGTTAGTCATGTTATTTAAGCTCATTCCAAAATAGCACCTTCCTTTTTTGGTAGAGTTAGCTTTGCAGCTGTTGTCTCTATCTGTTGTCTCTGAAGAAAGATTTAACATTAAGAGTTGCTGACGTCAATTTTTTTCTTTTTTTTACAGCTGATGTGGGCTTTGCCCGTGACAGAAGTTATTTGGTTCTAGCTCTGAGTTTGGAAGAAGTTGGTATATAGATTTTCCCCTAACTTTCAATTGATGTGTTTAGCTTTAGTGGGAGTAATACTATCACTTAAACCATGTTGTCGTCTCAAGGAGTTTTGCTACATCCGTATGGAGTGCCAATGATTCTGCCGGCAGCACCATACTTCGCTGGACTTGTTCAGGTAATGCAAGGCCACTTCCAACAAGCAACTTAACTAGTGCACTTAGAGTAATAATTGGAATTTTTATGGTTGAGAAAGCAAACACTTCTAATACAGGCAAAAGCTCTCATGTAGTCAGTGAGAAGACAGTAGGAAATCAAAAAGATGGATCACCCTAATCTGTGTATTGACATCTCTCATGGCTGAATAAATGGTGTAGTTGAGCTATATTTGCTTGTATTGATCTGTCTGCTGTTTAACATTCATGCCTTTGCTTCAAGAGGTTGACCACAGGGCAGAGGATTTGCTATCCATTCTAGGTTTCTGAGGGACTCAGCATTCCCACGACAGGTCATAAGACGCAGTAACTTACCATGATGTGTTTAGGTTAAGTGTTTTAGTACAGCAAATATGAATAGCATTAAATATGCATTAATTCAAAGTTATGCGTCACATTGAATGAATAAGGCTTTGTACTTTTGTGTGTGTGGAAAATTACATCTTTACAGAATACTTATGCCAACCCTTTTGAGCCCTAAAAGTGTAAAATTTTGCTTTTCTGAGATAGTTCTGTATTGTGGAAGTTAGCTGGCAATTATGGGATTTTGTTATGTTGTCTGCTGTGTTTCTAATTCTTTTTTTTTTAATCTAGAAGTGGTACTGCTGCATTTTCTGCTGTTAGATTTAGGATTTAGTAGAGATTCACCATGTAGGCATTAAGTAAGCAAAACGTATTCCATTGTTGACAGTATTAGACAGCACTAAGAAAATATTCAGGTAATATTTCCAAGCATTGCCAAAATAAACAAGTCTAGTCTGTTTTGTAAGTGGCAGCAGTTAGGTGCGATGCATTAGCAGGGTCAAGAGAGGAAGAGAAACATGGAGCACTGCATTTCTGTGTCATGTTAGCGGTCAATCAAATTAACATGGAGGAGAGGCATTTGTTTGAAATTTTCATTGTGCTCCTTTATTATGGTGGTTAACTGGTGTAGCAGGGCAATGACAACATGAACCAGAGAGTTTCTCCATATATGTCAATTCAGTAATCTAAGATTGTGACTTGTCTTCTTCATATTAGGCTTAATCTCAGACACATATGTCTACAACAGAAATATAGCAATGCACACTGGCCATTATGAGGTATTGAAAAAATATATGCCTTCTGGCCCGTGCAGACGGACGCTACTTTTTATGCAGTAAGACGCAGTAGCAGACTTGAACACATCAAGCAGGTCTTCGTATCCATTAGAATTTGGGGGTGAAGGTTGGACACTAGAGCTCAGTCAGACCTTGTGCCATCCTGTCCAATAAATAATTACAAGCAAATCGTGCCTTTCACTCTATGCTGATTGATGCTGAAATTGCTTTTGAAAGTTCTCATAAGTTCCTGTTATAGATTAAGTGCCGGTGTAGGAAAAATAACTGCACCCAACTGAAATGGGTGAATGTAATCAGGTTTAATGGACTCGAGAGCTTGTTGGGAATTAAATAACTATTGATTTGTTGGAAAGTTGCTGTCATTACAAAACGCCGCTCTGGATGCATTATCCAAGCAGATAGATTAGAAGAAAGGGCCCTTTGAAAATTTGCGATGCCTTATTTCAATTTTTTTTTCTTTCTTTCTCTAGAAAGATATATCCAGGTGTGTGGTACCCCACTAACATAGGTCTAAAATAGCCAAGCAGTAAGAATTATTCTACAAAAAACTAAGTATGTTTACGGATACAGTAGAAAAATGTTCATCATATGAACTCTTCTGTAGTCACCTGTCCTCCCCCTTCCCTCCCCCCCCCCCCCCCCCCCCCCCCCCAAATCTCATACCTGAGAATTTCATTTTGGAAAACTAAACTTTTTGAAATATTTCTGAAGAAGGAGTCCCCATGGTTTGCAGTTATATGTGCACCAAAATCATTTGCTTATGAAAACAAAATTTAAAGTATTACACAGAGATTAGGGGGGCTGTTCATGTTTTATGTTGCATGGTGGAGCAGAGAGCTCACAGATCTCCATGGACAGTCTTCAGTGGTTTTGCCCCTTCAGGCTGTGTATATTGTTTTTCCTTATGCTGTGAGTGTGCAGCCTTTGCTAGCCTCTCCTAAATTGATCAGTAAACTCCATCCTACATTCTGTGCTTGCTTTTGTGACATTTCCTTATTGCAGAGTACTGGAATGTGTGGAACTTAGGACAAAGAAGGAGAAAGGGTGGGCTAGCAGATACATCTCAGGAAACATGTTAGGTAGAAACAACTATGTATATTTTCCCAGTTGTGTGTATTACGTGTTGCTATCTCGCATTCCTCTTGCTGAGGTAATACATTTGAGTGAGATAATGAAGAAAGGAATATATATGTTCTTGGAGAGAAGGTGTTGCTATTTAGTATTAGAGATATGTCAAAATGTGTCAAATTATATTATATGTTACTTGCAAAGTTCGTTTTATTTTCCAAGTAAATAACTTGTTATTAATTGGATACTAGAATTAACTTGGATTTATTGACACATCTTTAATGAAGAAAAAAAAAAACTCTTTTCCTCTGCCTTCTTCCTCCCGTATGAAATTATAGGGGGGAAAGATCACATGAAAGTATAAATGATGCATAAATAGTATTTTGCATCATGTGGTAGGAGAGATGTTTTTCTGAGTTGGCACACCAGATGTACTGGCAGCTTCCCAGGCTGCCACAATTACTCTGCCATCAGGAGCAAAGAGGGCACTACAGTTCAGCAACTACATACGCTGTGGGCAGCAAGGCCTAGTTAATATCCAAATACTCATACTGTTTCTTCTGGCAATGAGAGACACAAAAAAATGCCATGGAGTGTTATGTGGCAATAAAAGACTTGTTATCCTGCCCCTGGTTGATATCCTACTTTTGCTATTTGATTCACATGGGGGAACCCGTAGGGCCAGATCAGCAGGGAAGGCAGTAGGATGTCACATGGATGAATGTGACCCACCTGCCCTGGACAGGGTGCCAGACCGCTGTCCTACTGGAAGCTACCTTGGCTTTACCTTACCGCATAGGTTGTCAGAATAAGCCTGCAGAATGTAGTTCTAGTTATCATTACAATTACAAAGTGCAGCAAAGTACAAAATAGCTATTTATAGATTTATATAAAAAAATATATTTTGCAGAATAATAGGTTAAATGTCCACACATGAGCTTCATCTTCTATAGGTTTAAGTATTTTAGGTGTATAAAATTGCTCTGGATATATGGTATGGCAGGATTACAATAAAATATTTTAAAAATGCAAATGCAATATATGACATTTTAATGATGGATGTTAAATTATTTATTGCATGGCTAGCTTAAGCAGCTCAAGTTCCATGTTAGCAAAGAATTTTTCTTATGCATTATTAGTATAAGAAAATTATTAAAGGTGAAATTATTCAAGACTTTTCAGTGAAAGAAAGTACTTAAAAATCCTAGATGGAAACACAGTTCTACTTCATATGAAATGCACTCTTTAAATTTAAAGATCAGAGGGATGCTGTTAGTTTTTCTGAATATGGTCAGTGTTTTTAGAAGTGGACTTCAAAAAAGAACAAAATGTTTTAGCACAGGGACCAGAAAGGCTGTAAGAGTTCCCAGGGTTGAAAGTTTATGTTCATTGTCAGAGACATTGGGCAGCTAAGCTACAGATACAAACCTGAAGCCTTTTTTTCTGCTCTTATTTGGTTTTGGTTTTATGTTTTTTGTGAGGTGGTAGAGGGCTGTACACCAAAAATAGGAAATGGTCACTTCTGATGGTCAGCTACTGATCACCAATTCGAAAAACTGTGAATTACTGTGCTTTTAAGTAACTGCTTACATTGTTCTTAATATATTTTCATTATATCTGTGCATCGGATTTTCCATAACTGGTGAACTAGTGATTGACTGACAATTGGAAAAGTGGTAATCTGGAGACAGTTCCATGTTATTTTAGGGCTAAGTGAGAGAATTGCCTAGAATATACTGTGAAAAGTCGCGGTGCAGACTTCTTAACAGTTCCATCTACCAGTCTGTAAAGTTGTTGTCTTTGTGCTGTATATGGAAGTGTTAACTATGAATAAATTCAGAATACTTGCAGATGCCAGTGTCTTAGGCTACCTGCAAAAACACAGCTACCTTCTGGAAGTCCAGTATTGCAAAATGTTGTTGGATACATTAGTCTGTGATAGCTTACATTGAAAAGGCTTTAGTAATTTAGTAATTTCTATTTGAATAACGCTTTTGAAATAGAAACGATGAGAGATTTTAGTTCTTCCCTTGTTGCCTGAAATGGTGAATACTTATCTTGGTTGTTTTTAGATCACTAGCTAGTGCATAATTTTTATTTAGACTAGCTTTATCGTCTCTTTGAAATGCAGTAAGTAGATGATTTACCTTAGATGCAGATTTATTCTGGCTTGATTGTGTTGTTCTGTCTTTGCAGGTGATAAGGGTCTGCTGTTACTAGTACTGTACTTCGCAGTGCTTCTATGAGCGGAAGACTAACATGTTTTACTGCTGCAATCAGTTTCCATCTGACTGCTTCTTTTGGTTTGTTTTCACGAGAGTGTATCTAATGTTTTTTCTTGTTCAGTCTAAGAGTTGCAAAGTTTTTCTCCCTTGTGAATCAAAGCTGCTTTTAATAGGAAACATAATAGTAGGAATCAGGTTGGTAATAATGATGACATGGTCTATATTACTTTGTTTATAGTAACTTTCAGTTACCAATGTTTAAGCTTCTGGAAATACAGTTTCAGTTTTTTTTCATTTAACGCATGCACCAAGCAACAAAGCCAACATGCATTCTTTGTCAGACCAGTCACTTGCTCAAGAGACTATTGACAGCTTTTTGCCATTGTTACTGCAGGTTTTCTTTTAATTCTAACCTGCCTTTGTTTTTTGCCAATAAGCGGCAGATATCATAAAATACATGATGAGTGAACTGTAGAGAGGGAGAGGGAGGGCCGACGACACACAATGTCTTTCCCATTGATCAGAAAACCTTTTTACTGAGAACAGTAAACTATCTAGATAGATCTAGTT